CCAGGCAAGCCAGTCGGCCACCTGTGTATCCCATACTAATCTAACATTTATCAAACTCTAATATCTCACCCACCGTTAGCTCAATTACAATAAAATATTGACTGAAGCTATGGATATACTTTAAGAAACTAAACATCAAAAATATATGATATAATAAGATTCATATCATATATAATACTAGTTTGAAATAAATTACCATAAAATACAGTGTAATATATTTTACTTGAATATATATTAATATTTATCTTATAAGATTTATATACTAAACTTAGATACATTCTAGTATGCCAATTTCATTAGGTAAACCTGAATTTATGAAGTTTGGCTGTAGTATTACAGCTCAAAAATTACTGGAATAGTATGGAATACACAGGTGGCCGACTGGCTTGCCTGGCCGACTCGCTTGCCGGTTACGTTAGTATAGCTGACTAATCACCACGTGGTTGCAGGCCTGAATTGGGATGGGATTCGCGTCACCGACCAGCGCAATTGTGTCTTCAGCGACAACTATAGATCCATCACATCATGCTACAAGCATGAATCCCGCTGCTCCTCCATGCCTTCCCTGCCCGACTCGCCTCCTCCGGTTCCTCCCCCCGTTCCCGTCGAGACCCATCCGAACCGCACGGTTGGCGTGAAGCCTACCGCCGCGCAACGAGATCTCCCGGATCCCAACCGGCTGGCCCCTGAAGATGCATATTACACCTCGTCCCTGCCTCGGGCTCGGCCGACCCAGACGGGGTACGACGACTCTCTCCGTGTGCTGAATGGCAATTCGGGCACTGCTGCCTCCGTGGCAGCCCTGCGACCGCCGCCCGCGGTCCCAGGAGTAGGGAGCCGCAAGGTGCGCGGGACCAGCAGACGGAGACGACGAAAGGGTGCATGGAAGAAGCTGCTGTGGGTGAAACAATCATGTGCGCTTCATACCCATTGTGAAACATATCTGAGAGGAAATGCTCATTGGTTCTCTTAGACCCGGATAACTACACTGACACCGAGACGTTTCTTGACCACCTCCAGCGGAATCCCCGAGTGCGGCCCTACGATTTCTGGCCGCTAGTGGCCGACTCCACGGTCATTGTACAACATGTTAGTTCTGTGGCTATATTTGTGTGTTGCTTTGTCGGCATTGTTCAGGGCCGCGTGAGCCCAGTTTCGGTGGTCTGCTGGGGAAGTGTCGGGACAGCGTTGGGATGGATCTTTTGGGACTCGTGGATATTGGGAGAGCATGTGGAAAATGCGCATGTGGCGGAGCGGTCACTGGAGGGTGACGATGGCTCCAGTTCTAGCTCCATGACCAGCTCTGTCAATCCATCTGGCACTAGCTCGCGAGCCAATGGCCAGAAGGAGAACCAGGTGCATGGGCTAGGGTTGAACATGTCGCAGGGCGAGTCAAGTGAACTTCTCCGGCGACACAGCACGGGGTATGTGAGTGATGCCTATGGGGCACAGGATCCCGCATCGCCTACGCCTGGGCCTGCGAACGGGGCCCTGGGTGGCGGTTCTGGTTCACAGGAGCCAGACTACTTGTCGATGTTTTCTTCGCGGAATCGGCAGCGGCTGTCCACTGTGAAATCGGCGTTTTTGATCTACTTCGCGCTGCTCGGGCTTAGCCCGATCCTCAAGTCTCTTACCAAATCTACGGCGAGTGACTCGATCTGGGCCATGAGTTGCTGGCTACTGATCATGAATATCTTCTCCTTTGACTATGGAAGTGGGGAGGGCGCAGGCGCCACCAAGTTCCCGGCTTCTTTGTCCACTAATGCAGCGGTGATGGCCTCGACTGTGTTGGCGTCGCGCCTACCTTCTACTACACATGTGTTCAGCCTGATGCTGTTCTCAATTGAGGTGTTTGGGCTCTTCCCCATTTTTCGCCGGCAGCTGCGTCATGTGTCATGGACTGGGCATGTACTGCTGACCTTGGCTCTGGTCGGGGTTGCTGGCGGCGCGGTAGGGATCACCCTGCGTGGAGGATGGATGGCGGCGGTGGTTGGCTCGATCCTAGGGAGCATCCTAACGGCGCTCGCCATGGGGGGATGTAGCTGGTGGCTCATCAGCTTACAGAAGTATAAGAATGTGGTGACAGGGCCATGGGACCCTGCGCGGCCGATCATCCGGCGGCATTGGGATTAGCTGTACGCTTTCTCGGTTTTATATTTCATTTAGAAGATACCCTACAGTCTAAACTCAGACTTGTCTAGCGCTAATAATGAAGTTTAACTTTGACACTCTCCTTTGTACGATTCAGCTCAGATTAGAAAATAAGACACAACACCCTGATTGACAAATAGATGTAGCTTTTGGTGTCTCATCCGCCAATGCAGCCCAGCCAGCCGGTCACAATCCCACCAAGGCCCCAACATGCCGGAATGTTGTTTGGTATGTTTGTTGCCTTTCGTGGCAATTCTCGATCGCAGCTTCCCCAATCGCCATGTTGTATGTCTCAGCAAGTCACACTACCCTCATTCAAGCTATGCTATAACTGGAAACTAGTGTTTCTGCAGCCACGGACATACCTGGCCTCCATCTCCGCGATCGAGCATCCACCCGGCATCTCCTCCAGAATGTTGCGGCGATGACCCCAGACTGATCGGAATGGTAGGACTCGCCATCTGTCCCTCATAACGGCAGGCTCCGTTCAATAGGCAGCGAATGGTGATACAAGAGGTACATATTTAGCACCACAGCCCGGAGTGACTCAAAAGAACGCGCACCACCACCACCACCACCACCATATATACCTCTGCTTTCTGTCCCCGAGTGGAACAACACAGAACAGACCCAGAGAATCAAAGTATCAACAATCAGTAATATGAGAATAATCGCCCTCGGCCTGATGGGCCTACAGTGCGTGGCGAGCATGCGGTTCGCCATGTACATCGATGAGTGAGTACCAACAACATCCTCCTCATCCTACCTCTTTCTATACGCATCTAAAAAAAATGGGGAATTAATCTAGGTACCACACAAGTGGCCTCCCCGGCTCTAACCAAACCCAAGGCATCACGCACGCTATCATGGCTTTCGCCCAGTCCACGCTCTTCAACTCCAACTCTCCCCCACAATTTACCCCCTTCGAGTCTGTCTCCACCATGCGCAGTCGCTTCAGCCCGGGGACTAAGCTCATGATCGCTATCGGCGGATGGGGCGATAGCTCGGGGTTCTCAACGGCCGCGAAAGATGAGACTTCTCGCAACCAGTATGCGAAGAACGTAGCGGCTATGGTGAACCAGCTTGGTTTCGATGGTGTTGGTATGTCTCCATACTCTTCCTCGCTATCCCCGTCCCGCAAGTAGTATTGACCGAAATGTATAGACATTGATTGGGAATACCCCGGCGGTAACGGCCAAGACTACAAGACAACACCGAACAGTGCCAAAGTTTCTGAAATAACTACCTATCCCTTATTCCTCCAAGCGCTACGAAGTGCCCTCGGCCCCAACAAACTTCTCTCTATTGCGGTCCCCGGCAAGAAGGAAGATATGATCGCCTTCACCAACACCACAGGCCCGCAGATCTGGCCCTCAGTCGATATGGTGAACATCATGTCGTACGATCTCATGAACCGCCGGAATAACGTCACAATGCACCATACCTCTGTTGTGGATTCGTTCAATACCGTGCAGGCGTATCGGGATATTGGCCTCCCTGGCAATAAGACAAACCTGGGAATGGCGTATTATGCGAAGTGGTTCGAGACCGATCCCAACGATGAGAAGGAGTGTGAGGACCAGCCGATTGGGTGCAAGGTTGTCGTCATGGAGAACGCAGATGGGAGCGATAATGGGAAAAGCGGGAGTCTGACGTTTGAAAAGAGTGTTATGAGTGCGCCTCCGGCTAACCTGAAGACGAGTGTGGACGGCACCTGCGGCTTTGATAAGGGGACGAAGTGTCCCTCTGGGAGTTGTTGCAGTCAGTACGGAAACTGGTATGTCAACTCCGCCTATTCTCCCTGCGAATGTTTGCTAATAAGAGGTGATCTAGTGGAACAACCGACGACTTCTGCCAAGCAGGCTGTCTGTCTGACTACGGAACATGCAAAGGCATTTCAATCACGGATTCATGGCGGCGCGCGCAAGAGAACGCCAAACTGGACGATGTCATGGGTGGAGAGTACTACTTTGATGACGAGGTCAATGTGTTCTGGACATGGGATACGGCAGACATGATTGCACGCAAGTTCACGGACATTGTGGATAAGCTGGGACTCGGGGGTGTTATGGCATGGAGTTTGGGCGAGGATACATTGGCATGGGAGCACTTGGGAGCCATGCAGAAGGGTGTAGCCTCCAGGTAGTAGTAGAATTATCTCTTCAGCGAAGCATCGGGAGATGGAAGGAGTGTCCAGTGACTTTGGAGGTAAAGGGAGTAGTTTATTTGATAGTAGTATTGAATGGACCGCATATGCATATGCCCTTTTTATATCCGCTCACTCGCAGTAGTAGCAGTAGTAGTAGTATGTATATCATGCAAAATGTCCATCACATATCATGCCATCCCCCATTATCCCAGAAAGAAACCATGCATGCATGCATGCAATATGATGCCATATATGGAACACCCAAAACGCCATAAACAACCAGGGTATCACTCATGCCTCATGTCCCGTATACGGAGTAATCCCAAACAGACCAATAACTCTAAAAAGCAAACCGGGGAATAAAGGCAACAGAGGAAAAGGAAAGAAAAGAAAACCACAGCACATCAACTAGATGCCAACCCCTGCTGCTGCACCTGTCCCTGTCCCTGTCCGGACAAAGATATCCGATCGTCTAGCCCCCTTTCCTCCCACTCTATTAATAAGCGCGACACCTCCTTGAATGATACGGGCTTGGTAAGGAACAGGTTCACGCCCGAGGTTAAGGCCTCGGATTCATCGCGCGAACTGCTCAATCCCGTCAATGCGATGATAACGGCTGGTTTGCATGTTGCGCCGCGCTCTTTTTCCAGGGCGCGGATGGCGCGGGTGGCTTCGAAGCCGTTCATTACGGGCATGGACATGTCTGTAGTGATTTTGTTAGGATGTTTGAATGGTACTTGTAGGGTGTTGGTGAGGACTAACCCATAAAGATAATGTCGTAGCCATGTTGGGCCCGTTCGACTGCGTCGACAGCTAATTTGCCGTTCTCGGCGGAGTCGAGGGCTGCAAGGTGCCGCTTTTTCATGAATGTGAGCATCAGGTTCAGGTTGATGCTGTTATCGTCGACTACGAGGACGCGGGCGCGTCGCTCGTTTTCGATTTGTGTTACAATGGGTTGTTTGAAGGGTGATGGGGCGCGGATCGGGAGAGGTGAGTTGATGGTATATAGAGGTGCATCCATGCCGTCGGAGTCTTGCGAGCGAGGGTACTCGGCTGATGAGGTCGAGCCGGAGCTGATGGTCATCTCTGGGGCGAGCTCGGAAGTGTCGGTTGTGATTTCGAATAGTCTCTCTCCGGGTGAAAGGTCGCTCCCGGAGGAAATGGTAGTCTGGCGTGGCCGTTCGGGGAGCTCGAGGGTGTGTGGTGCGGTGTTGCTACTATGCGTATCGAGACATCTGCGGATGCTGCGAGCGAGTTTGTGTGGTCCACATGGTCGGCGAACGATGTTGACCACATTCGCCAAGGATGCCCATTGCGAACGCGCGGTCGTGTAGTCGACGGATTTGTTGCAGAGGATCAAGAGCGAAGGGAGAGTCGCGTCGCCGGTTGGCCTCAGACCGTCCAATAAGCTCTGCTCCTCCGCCAGAATGACGTCCACAGGCGTGCCCGACGGCCATGAAACAAGCTCGAGGCCATACCAGTCGATCAAGTATCGCGAGTAGATGGACCACAAAGGATGGGAGGCAGCGTCGGCGGGATCCACGCCAAGGATGGCGGCGCGTCGACCAACATGGGCCTCGCGCAGCAGACGGCATTCGGTTAACATCTCCTGCTCCCTCGTAGATGGCGACACGGGACGGATAGGTTCTTCCAACTCCAGCTCCGGACCAGGTCGTACGAGAGGCAACGAGACCTTGACGATAGTTCCCTCGCCCGGCCGGCTGTGGATGTTGATGCTGCCCTTCAGAGCCTTGACGAGACTTCTCACGATTGACAGACCCAGGCCTGTACCGACTGCAAGCGTGTCCTCCTGGGCGAACGGCGTGTACAGGCGGCCTCGTAGGAACTCCTCCGAGATACCCTTGCCGGTGTCCGACACCGTCAAAGTCACTAATTCTTCGACACCGTTCCGACGCACGCGGCCCTCGGACGCCTCTGTAACTTCCAAGTGCAGCGACACGCGACCACTGTGCGTGTACTTCATGGCGTTGCCAAAGACGTTCATAACAATACGTCGCAGAGCTCCGGGCTGCGTTTGATAGACCCAGTCATTGTGTGCAATGTCCATGACCACCTCAACTTCAGAACCGGGTTTCGGTTTCGTTTCCTTGTCGGGCTGGATCTGGCCCTGCTGAGCAAGCGGCAGGACAACAGGCTGATCGTAACGGGCTGCGGATCGTTGACCATATGCATGACCCAGACACACGCCTTCCACCACCTCTTCTGCCAGAAGGGCCAAGTCGGTCGCCACGTAGGTGTCCAAGTGGGCAGAAAACCGGTCCATGCCCTTGACGTCTGTGGACGACGTCTTGTTCCGCTTCAGGCTGCGATAAGTTCGTTCCAAGGATACGATCTTGCTATAATCAAGTACCTGGTTCATTGTATCCAGCAAGGTGCGCCCACAGGCATTGATGGTCTCCAGGAGAGACCCCTGGAATTCATCCAGGTTCGTCCCATTCAAAAACTCGGCGGCCGCCAAGATACCGTGCAGCGGACTGCGCAACTCGTGTCTGAACAAGGTTAGTATTTAGTGAGACATACGAGAGAACCCGACTTACGAGATACTGCCAATGAAGTCGCCCTTTTGCCGGTCGGAGATGAGGGACTCGACCCGGTTGCACTCGGCCATTATGGAGGAACCAAATCCCAAAATTGAACTGAGTTCCACGGACGAGCTGAAGACGCGCGTCTCCTCCGTATTCCAGCAGAAACACCCGGCGAACCACTGTGAGTTGGCGGAATTCCATAGCGGCACGAAGAGAACCTGAGTCGCATTGGGAAAGTAGAGGTTAAGCATGGAGTTCTCCACGGATTTCCACTTCTTCGATCCACCCTTGCCAATCTCCGGCCCCTTTGGCGCACGCGATCGACTCTGTCGAGGAGTCTCATCGTCGGAGCTGGAAATCATACCGTCTCGATGAAACGAC